AAAACCTCCCTTGGGCCCCAACTCTGTTCCCTCACTTTGGCAGAGCACAAACTCCTGAATACTCCACAGATGTTGGCACTTCCCACACACTCCAGTGTTTTGGGGCTGCCCTCACCCATCCCATACCCTGAGGGCCAAGCCAGTGTCATCCCTGCAGGCCTGGAAACGAGGGAGGACTCACGTAGATCATGATTGTGGCGATCCTGTTGCCCGACTTCATCCTGTACAGGGGGCTCTTCATGGACTGCTCCAAAAGGGGAGGTGGGGACGGTCAGTCCTGCCCTGACACAGCCCAGAGCCCCTCACACCCCAGCAGCTCTAAGCTGCCCCACACTGTTCCCCCCTAGTAAATCCTTCCTTCTCCCTTCTTTTTTTCTCCCTCCTTCCCTCCTTTCCCAGGAATATCCCAGGCACCCACCCAGGGATCACCATCCTGGGACCATCATCCCACCCCTGCCAGGGGCCATCCCAGGGTGCATCACTAGGAACAACTCAGGGAATAACTTAGGGATCACCACGGGGACACCTCTAGGGACCCTTCGGGGTCTTCCCTTGGGCACCATGGGAAGCATCATGAGGAGCATCCCATCTCTAGGAACAGCTGAGGGACCACCCCCAGAGTAGTTCTCCTTCAGGAACATCAGAGGAATCACCCCAAGGCCAACCCCGGGCCCATGCCCAGGAATATCCCAGGGACCCCCCCAGAGTCCCCCGAAGGAGCCACCCTGGGTGTCACCCATGGTCCCCCAGGCCCAGCCTGGCAGCTCCCTGACCGTGGCGTGGTCGAAGTGTGGCTCGTAGTGGCCTCCCAAGCCGTAGTTGACCACCTGCAGGTACTCGGCGTAGGGCGGCCGCAGGTCCAGGCCGGTGAGGGCGGCCATGCGCCGATCCAGCGCCCGCACCACGGGGTCGGCCGTGTCCTTCAGCCAGGCGCTGCGGGAGCGCCCGTCAGCCCCACGTGCGGCCGGGCTCCACCCGCAGGCACCGCTGCGGGAGCCAGCCGCCCAGCACGGCCTCGCTGCCACCTCAGAGGCTGCGGGACGAGGGAGGGGTCCACTACCTCTTGCTTATGCGGTACTCGGCCTTCTGCTGCTTCTCCCCAGAGGCAACCACGGATCTCTGCAGCTGAGGGACACATGGGGGACGCATGTTGCCACGCATGGGGACCCTCACGCCAAGCAGGGGCCCTGGTGGGTTTGTACCAGCGGGTTGCCAAGCATCCCACCCTGAGGTGTCTCACAGGGGAGAGGGAAGCAGTGACAGAGGTGCAGTCACCAAGTCAGGCCTGGTTGGGAAGTGGTTCAGGTGCAGCTGTGGACTTGGTTTCTTCCAAAAAGTCTTTTGGGGGGCTCACATGGAACTGGGGTCACCATCGCCAGGGTCTCATCTAATCCTAGAGTGGTTTGGGTTGGAAGGGGCCTTCCAAGATCATCCAGTTCCACCCCCTGCCATAGGCAGGGACACATTCCATTAGACAAGGTTGCTCCAAGCCCCATCCCATCTGAACTCCCTGGAGGAGACTTTAGCCTTAAAACCCCTCCTATCTCTGCATTCACCCTGGATCATGACCTCCTGGGACACCCTGCTGCAGGAAAGGGACATCCCTGGGGACGGGTATGGCTCACCCAGGGCCCTGCCAACCCCTTGATAGTCTCAGCCTCAGCATCGGTGATGAAATCGTGGTACAGAGCCACGTGGGGTCGGATCCGGACCATCTCCTTCTTGGCCGGCTGGAGGAGGAGGAAGGGGCTGCCGTTGGTCTCGTAGGAGCAGCCGAGGTGCAGGAGCTGCTCTGGGGCTGGCTGGGGAGGAAGAGGACCAAGGAGGGCGTGAGGGGGGGACAGCGGTGCTGGGGGACCCCGGCACCCCTGCCAGCCCCACCTGCCCCCTGGGGCGCTGGCACAGCTCCTCGTAGGCATCACGGCTCTGCAGGCGGGTGCTGTTGGGGCGCTGCAGGGGCCTGGCACTTGCCCCCATCCCCATCTCCAGCAGCTTCTTGTACTTGGCCACGTTCCTCGACACTCTTTGGTTTCTGGGATCTGCTGGGGAGGTGGTGTCACCCAGAGTGCTGCATCCCCATCAACCCCCTTCCCTGGCATCGGTCCCTGGAGAATTACCCCAGATGGGGGCAAGAAATGGGGTGAGGGAGGCTGTTGCCATGCAGAGGTGATGGGGACATCCCAAAATCTTTTCCCTCTTCCTGCTGCATCCAGGGTTGTCCCACATACCGTAGCGGAGAAACTCCCTGGAGAGGCTCAAGGCGTGAGAGATGTTTCCAGCCTGGATGGGGGAGTGGAGACCCCATCAGCATCCACCCCCCTGCCCATGGTTTGGCTCTGCTGGACACTGGGGATGGGGAGGGGACTTGTGGCTGTACCATGAAGTAGGAGAAGGCCAGATGGTCCAGAGCATCCTCCAGGCTGCTCCGGTCCTCCAGGTTCCAGCTGCCGTAGGAGAGGCGGAAGAGGCTGACAGCCTCCTCCAGCCAGGCAATGGAGTGGTAATAGTCACCTGTGTCATAGGCCACCTGCGGGGCAACACGTCACCTGCACCTGCAGCTGGGCCATCCCCTCCCATGGCATTGCATCGCATCCCATCACATCCCATCCCATCGCATTGTAACACATCGCATCGCATCGTATCCCATCTCATTGCATCCCATCCCATCCCATCCCATCCCAGTGCATCTGTTGCTTTCCGGTTGCCATCTCCATCCCCATTCCCTTCCACACCATCCCCATCCTGTCCCATCCCCTCCTTTCCTGTTCCATCCCCACCTCAGTCTCCATCACCGTTTGCACCTGCGCTTCCATCTCACCCCATGTGAAAAACCCCCGTGTCCATCCCTATGGAAGCAGCATCCCAGGCTGGGGAAGCTTTGTGGGGGCTTGTGGGGCTCTCCCCCACCTTTCCCACGTGGAAGCAGTCGTCGGCAGAGAGGGAGGCACGCCGGCCGGGGCTGTAGAGGGGCGGGTGCCCGGCTCTCTGGAAGACGCCGCTGGCCAAGCCCTTGACGCTCAGGGCGTACACGTCCTGCAGCCTCATCAGCGCCCTGGCTGCCCCGTCCAGGTCCTCAGCTCCAGGCAGCTCCTGCTCCACCTCCCTGAGGCCAGCGTGGAGTGCTGCAGGGTGGGAAAGATGTGCAGGAGGGGATAAACGAAATTATGAGGTGCAATCACCCTTATCAGCTCTTTTCCCTGGGGACCCTACATCCTGTTCCTCCATTCATTCTGCTCCTCCAACAATTTCCTTGCTTCTCCACCTGTTCCCCAACCCCTCCATCTATTTCCTGGCCTAGGTGACAGAGGGGACACGAGGCTGGGCATCCTCCCTGTACCCTGGGTGTTCCTGGTGGCCTCCTCGCTGTAGATGATGTTGGGCCAGTCCGAGTGCAGGCGCTTGATGAGGCTGAAGGCCAACAAGGGGTTGTCCACCGAGGCCTCGGGGTCCTGGTGCAGTGCCTGGACCTTCTCATAGAACCTGCAAGGCACCCACGGGAGGACACTTGGGTGCTCCTTGGTGCTGACACCGCTCGGGTGAGGCATGAGTCCCCCCACTGCTGGGCAGCTTTGCCTCAGCGTCCACTTTGGCCAAATCAGACCCTGGTGGGTCTGTGGGGATGGCCCGTGCCTTGGGATGCTGCAGCCCAGATCCCCATGGGTGGGGGGCCATGTCCCCCTCCTGGGGCACAGCTGGGGGAAGGGGGGCGTGAGCCACGTCCGGTCTCAGCTTCCCATCCTCCCACCACCCTCTTATTTAGGGCCACCCCCAAAAATTGGGTGCTGCGGGGAAGGTGGGGATGGGCTGACCCCTCCTCGCAGCCAGGGAATCACCCAGGCCTGGGCCCGAGGGGCGGGATGGGCGGCCGGAGGGCAGCGGAGGCGGTTGGGGTGCCGGTACCTGCGGAGGAGGCGCAGGCGGGAGCTCTCGTCCCGCAGGTAGGAGCGGAGCCGGCGGAGCAGGCGGCGCTCGGCGCCCAGCGCTCCCCGCACGCTCAGCATGGCAGAGAACGTCTCGGCCGGGGCGGGGGGCGGCAGCAGCGCCAGCAGCGCCCCCAGCACCCCCAGCGCCCCCAGTGCTCCCAGCGCCCCCAGTGCTCCAGCACCTCCCGTGACCCAGCGCCTCCAGAACTCCCCGAACCCCGAGCGCTCGCTCCAGGTGCTCCAGGCACCCGCAGTGCCTCCAGTCCCAGCAACGCCACCAGCACCGGCAGCGCTCCCAGTCTCCCCAGTGCCTCCAGCGCCCCGGCTCCCAGCAGTGCCCCCGGTGCTCCAAGTATCCCCAACACGCCCAGTGCACCCCGTACCCCCGGTCCCAGCAGCGCCCCCCGAGCCCCCAGCACCGCCAGCCCCACCAGCGCCCCCAGCACCCCCCGTGTCAGCCGTGCCCCGAGCCCCAGCGCCCGCACCCGGCCGCCGCCGCCGGGAGAAGCGGGGAAAAGGGGCGGAGAAGCCCCGCCTTTGGGGGGAAAAGGGGTGGGGGCGCCCCCGATCCGCCACGCTGGCTGGGGAGGGCGGTGTGGTGCTGCTCCCCGTCCTGCTTGTCCCTGTCCCCATTCCAGTCTGCCCCTCTGTCCCTACCCTGCTTGTCCCCCTCTTGTCTGTCCCCGTCTTGCCCCAGTCTCATCCTGCCTGTCCCTGCCCCTTTCCCTGTTCTCTCCCGGCCCCATCCTGCTCTGTCCTCAGCTTCATCCTGCCTGCCCGCTCCTCTCTGTTCCCATTTTGTCTTCTGTCCTAATCTTATCTGACACCATCCTGCCTGTCCCCATTCCATCTTGGCCCCATCCTGCCCGTCCCTGTCCACATCCTGCCTGTCCCCGTCTCGATTTGATCTTCTGCCCATTGCATTCATCCTGTCTGCCCGCCTCACCATACAAAACCAGCACCAGGATGCAGTGGGAGGTGCCGCGCTTGGGGCCATCCTGCATCTTTCTGGGGCAGGGCCAGCTCCGTTGGGATTTTCCCTGTATGGACTGGATTTCACATGTTTTGGGAGAATTTTATTTGACAGCAGCACGGGGATGTGAGGTCACTGTCACTGTCGGGATGCTAGAAGCTGTTCCCTATGGAGCAGAATGCAACACTCCCCAACACTCCTCTCTCCTTGCCCCCAGTCAAGATTCGAGCGCTTTTCCCCAGGGGGCAGGGAGAAACTCAGTCTAAAGTAGGCAAGTGAAGAAAGCAGGATAAAAAATGGTAAAACCTGGGAATCTTCTGCCACCTGCAGGAACACAGGAACTGGAATATTTTTAACTAAACCAAGAGTTCTGGGTACTTTTTCCTCAGGGAGTCAGCTGCTCTTGCTGGCACCTTCTGCTTTTCAGCTGCCACCAGGTGAAAAATGCTGATTTTTGGAGAAGCAGCAGCATTTTGTATGCTGTGCTGGCATCCCCCTTGGCCAAGCCAGAGCAGAGACTCCACTGCCGCAGGTCACCGACAACACCTGACGGGTGATTAAAAAGGCATAATTAAATAAAAGGTGCACGATGCTGAGCTTCTGGCGCACTCGCAATGTCCTGGCGAGGTCCCGGCACTGCCGCGCTCACTGGCTCCGGCCGCCGACGCTCAGAGCGGCCGCGCTGCCTAAAACGGGTCTGTTTCAGGAAGCCTTGAGCTCCTGATCGCCGGAGGGCTCCAGGGTGAAGAGGCAGAAGGCGATTTCCTCGCAGGCGCTGCTGGCGCCGCACTCGAACAAGCACCCGAAGAGGCCGCCGGGGCAGGCGGCCAGGTCGGAGTAGCCGGCGGGCCCGGCGTGCAGCAGCCAGGGCCGCCGCCAGCCCGCCCCGTCCGGCGGCGAGGGGTTCACGTAGAGCCCCAGATCGCGCCGGCGGTGCCGGTCGGTGGGGTGCGAGTAGAGCAGCCAGGGGGGCTCCCCGGCGGAGCGGGCGAAGCTGAGCACGCTGCCCTGGCAGCCCCGCGGCGGCTCGCCCAGCGCGGCGCACGGCGCCGGCCGCTGGAAGCGCAGGCCGCGGTCGGTGCTGAGCGCCACGGCCCGGCAGCCCCGCGGCGCCCGGGCGCTGCAGTACAGCACGGGCTGCCGCGGGCCGCCCAGCTCGGCCACCTGGCACTCGCCCGTGCGCTCGCCGCCCAGCAGGGCGCCCTTGTGCCAGCGGCGCCCGCCGTCGTCGCTGTAGAACACGAGGGAGTGCTGGCGGGTGAAGCAGGGCAGCCGCAGCGCCCCGCACAGACAGCCGTGCACGTAGTAGGTGTAGGCCGGCACCACCAGCCGCCCCGAGGCCAGCTGCACGCCGTGGCCCGGCCCCACGGCGAAGGTGGCCCAGCGGGACAGGTCGGCGCCGATGGCCTCGTCCGTCACGTCCCGCAGCGCGCTCCAGCCGCGGCCGCCGTCGGCGCTGGTGGCGAAGCAGAGGCGGGCGGCGCTGCAGCCGCTCCAGATCTGGCAGCGCTCCGTCTTTCCCTGCTCCACGCAGATGCAGAAGAGGAAGACGGTGCCGCTCCTGGCGTCGTAGAGAGGACAGGGGTTCATGGTGCGGTGGCCCGGCAGCGCCAACGCCGACAGCTCCTCCATGGGACCCCACTGAAAGAAAGGAAAATGGGGCTCAGCACGGGAGCCAGCCGGCACCGCGCCCGTCTCTTGTTATAGCCCGGGGGGATTTTACCTTGACCGAGGAGCCGTGCCGGCGGCCCCGCCGCAGCACCAGGTACTTGGCATCCTCGTCCCGGGCCGAGGAGCGCTTCTCGGCAAAGGCCAGGAAGGAATCATCGGGGGGGACGTAGAGCAGAGCCGGGATGCGATAGGTGACCCCACCTGCCTGTTGGAACAGCGTCTCCGGAGGGAAAACGTGCGGGGATCCTGGTGGTGATGGCAGCGGTGGGGGGCTCTCCCCGCCATCCTCCTGCTGCTGGAAGGGTGGGAAAGTCAGATGTAAAAGGGTTAAATCCCGGCAAAAGAGGGGGTGGCCCGTACGGGGGGGCAGGGATGAAGGCTCACCTTGAGGCAGGTGGTGGCCTGGGACATGGTGACAGCCCCGAGGTTCCCCCTGGGACCTGAGCAGGGTGGGAGAGTGGGGTGAGAGCAGAGCCCCTCGCTGGGGTCACACCCGCCCCCTGCCCGTCTGTGCTGCTCCCCTGTAGCGCACAGAGTCCCCTGCTTCACCCACGGTGCCAGCTCCCGCTGTTCCCGAGGGCTGTGCACCTCCTGCACGGCATCGGGACCCCGGAGCTCCCACCGCCTTAAGATCCCCGAGTGGCACTAGCCCGGGGTCCCTGTGCCCCTGCTCCCCTCCATTCCCCGTGCACCCCCAGTCCCCCCCGCACCCTCCAGCCTGGATCCCCCCCGGGATCCCCCATGTCCCTACGCTGGCGCACAGCACAAACCCCCTGCACCACGCACGGACCCCCAGTGACAGACCCCCCCTCCGTGCCTCCCCCCTCACATGTCCTGGCCCCCCTTCGGCCCCGCAGGCACCGATCGCCCCCGTCCGCCTGCAGTACCCAGATTCTCCCCGTGTACCCCGACACCACCTCAGCCCCTTCACCCCGGTGACCGTCCCAGTCCCAGTCCCAATCCCCCTGCACCCCCCTGCACCTCCCAAGCGCCGACCCCCCCATCCCCTCCGTGCCGCGGCCCCCCGCACTCCCGGTCCCGCACCCCCGCATCCCCCATCCCCGCAGACCCCGCTCCTCCCGCCGCCGCCGCGCCGGGGCCGCCCCGCTCCGCCTCTTCCTGCAGCTCCCGGAGCCGGGGGGGCCGGATCAGGCGCTCGGCGGGCGGGGATCCCGCTGTCGGGATCCCGGAGCCCGGCGCCGGCTGGCAGCGGGGCAGTACCTGTGCAGGTGTGAGCCGGTGATGTGCTCCGCCTCCGGCGCTCCTGCGGGGCCGGTGGGATGCTGGAATTCCGGGAGGAGACTGACCGGTGGAGCCGCTGCTCTCCCCAGCAGGCGGGAGGGGAGCCAGGAGAGGGATGGAGGCAGGACCCTGCTTGGGATGCCAGGAGAGTCCCCGGCCGGGCGCCCTTGTGGGACGGCCGTGGCGAGGGAGGGCTGGAAAACCAGGAAGGTCCGTCTGGGGCTCCCTGCGGTGAGGCAGCCAAGCCCAACCAGCTCTGCAAGAGAAAAAGAGGAGTCATCCTCATCCTGTGGCACCTGGGGACGAGGTTTAGGTGACAAGACTGTGGTGGTGCCACGGGAATGCCAGGATTCTCCTTTTGTGAACTGGGATTCCCTCCCCAGGCGTGAAACACCCCAGAGATGCTCCAGGACACGTTTGATGTCTGTTCTTCCCTTTTATTGAAAAAAAACAACCAAAAAATTATCTCTTTAAAAAAATGCCAGTTTATAGAAGGGACACATGGAACGAGAGATGCCAGAAGGGAACCGCAGGACAGACAGACACAGCTTGGAAAATCTTTTACACTTTCTGAGAAGCTTCGTGGCTGAGCACACAGAAGTAGCATATTTGATTCTCCCCCCCCAAGACATAAAAGGTTTTTATATAAAACAATCCTCTACCCCACTTAGATAAATACAAAAATAAAGCAAACTTGTTTGCAAGGGGATGGTTGTTTCACAGAAGGGTTTTGTCCTGAACTCCTAGCAGAAATGGAATAAATTGTGGTAAAGCACTGCCAGGTAAAGCAGGGATGCTGGGGCAGCACTGGTGGTGTGTTTCCCCTCCTGAGGGTCCCCAAAATCCAATTTTGAGCCTGGAAGGCAGGCACAGAGACCAAGCTTAGCCATGAGCTTCAACAAATCTTGGGTCCAGTATTAAAATTCCTGCTTATCCAAAAAGGAATAGGACTTCAGGACAAAAACAGAGGCCATGATTCACTTTCGTTGCCATTTGACTTTATTGGTGTTAATTTAGCAAGCTGTTGGGAGGCGGCTGGGCTCCAAAATCATTTTGTTTTCCTCTCCAGGGCCAGGCTGTCGTGCAGCTTGGACACCTCTGGCTCGTAGGCCTCCATGACTAACGTGCCGTTGTTGTCGAAGAACTTGGCGATGGATTTGGTGAACTCGGCTTCCCTCTGCTGCTTGGTTTTCCCACTGATGAACGTCAGCTTCAGGGTGTACTTGTCATCAAACCTGCGGGAGGGCAGACACACCTCAGAGCAGGGTCCCAGCGGGACAGAAACCCGCTCCTGTCTGAGGGGAAATCCCTCAAAGCAGGGTCCCAGAGGGACAGAAACACCCTGCTGTTTGGGGAAATCACTCAGAGCAGGGTCCCAGAGGGACAGAAACACCCTCCTGTTTGGGGAAATCCCTCAGAGCAGGGTCCCAGAGGGACAGAAACACCCTCCTGTCTGAGAGGGAAAAAACCCTCAGAGCAGGGACAGAAACCCCCTCCTGTGTGAGGGGAAAACCCCCCAGGCTGAGCCCCCACCTGGGCACTCACAATTAACACAATTTGAGGCCTTTACACCCCGCATTAAAGAGAAGCGGAACACGAACACGGGGGGCAGAAAACCACTTGGGGCCGCTGCCACTGCTGGGCCAGGAGATGGCTTTTGGTGCAGCAGGTGGATTCAGAAGAGCAGGCAGTGTTTAGGGGGTCTCTGGCTGGCGGAGCAGGCGGTACCGTTTGAGGCTGGAGGAGAGCTGCCAGACGTCGTCGGGATCCATCCCGGCCGGGTCCTTCCTGTGCGCCACCAGGAAAATGCTCTTCTCTTTGTAGGAGGTATAGATGGTCAGGATTCCCATCATCACAAAATACGTGCACAGGAAGTTAAGGACGTTAGGAAGGTGCAAGGAGAAGCAGAAATCAGGCAGAGGAGTCGCTCGGATCCCCTCAGAGCTGTGGTTTAGCCACCTCTCAAGTGACATCTTGACTGCAAACAGGATGTTTGGCTGATGCTTCATCAGCAAGAGAAATTAACTAATAAAATTAAACTTTAGTAATTTATTATTCACTCCCTGGAAGTGCCCGAGGCCAGGGTGGAGCAACCTGGTTTAGTGGAAGTGTCCCTGCCCATGGCAGGGGGGGAATGGATGAGCTTTAAGGCCCTTCCCACCCAAACCAGTCTGGGATTCTCTGACATTTGCTGGGAAAACTTGAGAGTGAACAAGCCACAGAAGGAGTTGCTGGACATTCCTCCAAGGACAGACCAAGCAAGTCCTCTTTCCCAATTCTGGAATTAAGTAATTTCAAGTGCTGCAAGACAAGTCACCCATTTGTTCTGAAAGCCACCCAGAAGAGCCAGGAACAATGAAATTCCTTAGGATCACAGAATTGTTTAGGCTGGAAAACATCTCCAAGACCATTGAGTCCAACCATTCCCCCAGTCCACCATTCCCCCAGCCAAGGCCACCAGCACTCCTTTGCACTGCTGAGCCTCAGCAGTGAGCTGTGGAGTGGATCCAGCCTGTCCAGATCCCTCTGCAGAGTTGCTGGCAAGAATTTCCTCTTTGCCCTCTCAGCATCTGACCTGTGATATTAGGGAAAAGCAAGCGTGTCTGGAGCCAGACTGTGGAAGAATGAAAAAAAAAGGATCTGCCTCAGACCACCCAAATTTAGGGGCATTACACCCAGGAACTTTCCTGTCACATGAAAACTGTCTGATTGTCAGCTGATCTCCACAGGGCAGGAAGTGTAATTCCCGCAGGCCTGAAAACGGGAACATCCAGAAGGGTTTTGTTCCTGTGGAAAATCACACCCCTGTGGTATAACCACGACAGGACCTGTGAAGGATATGAGACAACACAAAAGGCAAGGACTGGTTTGGATTCAGGAAAAGGGTGCAGGTAATCCCAAATCAAAGCCACGATGGCAAAGAGACAGGAGATTGTGCAGATGATGAGGCGCCCGTCGATCAGACGGAAGTTCTCCACGTATTTGTACTTCTCCAGGAGCACCTGTGGGAGAAACAGGCACCGAGTCCAGGGAGAGCTTTTCAGGGATTTGACACGCTGCTTGTGGGAAGGGTTTGAAGGGAGCAGCCCCAGGGACACAGCTAAACTGGGCCGAAGGTTTGTGGGGAATGAATGTCTGCATCAGGCAGCACAAGCACGCGGGAATCACAAGGGATGCCATGGGAGCCAACCCCAAAAAGCAGGAAAGAAAACCAGAGAGCTTCCAGCAGGGCAGCCCAGCAGAGAGAGAACCCACCTTTTTGGCAGAGTCGTCCAAGGAATTTTTCACAGCTGAACCGTCCCATTTGTCGATTTTTACTGGCTTGTCATCAATCTTCCACTGCAATGGAAAGTGTGGAGTGAGGGGAATTCCATCCCAGCGACAGGAGGCAAACCAGAGAGCAAAGCTGTTTGGGAAAACCTGGCTGGACAGAGGGAATCTGCACCCAAAGCTGCCTGAGCAGTTCCTGGTGGGTTTCAGGCTGTACACCTTGTCACAGGTTGGATGTGCCTCTGGAGCAGGTTTAGTTTTGCCTCCTCATTTGCTGCTCCTGCTGCCATGCCCAGGAAGGGACAGCTGGGCTGGATTCCTGCCTCTGGATGTGCTCCTGCTTTCCAGACACTGCTCCACACGGACTCTTGGGGGATGGAGGAAAATTTTGAGAACCCCCAACAATCTTGGTACAAGGGGAGATTTAAAAGGCACAACCAAGAAATTTCAGTTAAAACCATTCTCTGGAACAAAAGCCAAGGACTCTGTACTCTTCACATTCAAAGCTTCTGCAGGAATGGGTCCCTCCCCAGTAACAATTCCCAGCTGTTCCAAGGGGCCCACCTTCCCCTGAACTACATCACTGTCTGGTGACACATCAGCCCGAGCCCTGAGTGTCCCAAGTCATCCCTTATTTCAAACAGGTCAGAGACTGGAGCTGGAAGCCCAGCTGCCAGCAGAGCAATCCTCAGTTTCACTCGTGTCATTTTCCTGCCCCAGAAGCTCCCAAGCTGGATGGATTAACCACCAGCCCAAAGAGCTCCCTTCCCTCCTCTGAAGGAGTAAAACCACTTTAAAATACCATGTCAAACTCCACCTGCTTGCCCTGCAGCCACACAGGGAAAAGCCCAGCTATTCCCCAGGCCTGGCATGCGGGAATTCTGAGGCACACAGTGAATGTCACTGCGTGTCCATGGGCTTATGAGGCACAAAAGCAACGGCCAGAAGGATCTAAAAATCACTGAGAACTGGGACAGAGCTCGCACATGGGTGTATGGTACCAAACATTTCAGGGGGCTGCTTCTGAAGCATTTTCTTCCAGGGTTAATTAGCACACACGTTAACTGGAAGCCACAGCCTTTCCGTTAAGAGAATAGGGTCGAATTCTTTCCACTATTTATTTTTGCTTATACGAGCATCTACAGCAGCTGGAGGGGGACGCCCAGGGCTGAAGGGAGGATGGTGGGGGAGGATTCTCAGGGATGGGGATGCCCAGGGCAGAGGGATGCCC